TTTTTTTTTTTATAATTTGTGTTCCTGTTGTTTGTTTTCATTCTCTGTTTAGTGTAATATCTGCTGTGTCATCATTTTTAAGCAGCACAATGGTGCTGTGCAAGGCACCAACGTATTTAAACCCCACTCTGAAACGAATAAATCAAATGATCCTGTGTTGGACGGTGTAATTTCTGTTACCTCAGTTATTTATAACACAGTGTATGTCTTGAAATGTTTGTAAGACTAAATTAATTAATATTTTTGGCAAGTCTTTTTTTGTTTTTTGGATAGCATACTTGTAATCAATACAGAGACTTTATAGTGTAGCCTAGAAATTGCCCACTGTCTCTTTAAAAAATAATTTGATGTGATGATTAAATTGTGATGTATTAACATAAAACTTAAGAAAAAAATACAATAACTGTAAAGTCTGGTAGTTGAATTTTTTTGTCACTTTATGTTATCTCTTTGGATTATATTGTCTTGGGTGTGTGAGTGTAAAGTGTTCATATTCATATACATAATAAGGTTAATCACAAATGTGTGCTGAGTAGTATGTGTGTGAGAGAGGAAATGAGAAAAAGTGGTGTTCACGTGAGTAAGACTAATTCATTCAGTTCCTCAATATGACCTTACTCACACTCTATGCATGGATCAATAACGATAAAAAACAAACAGCTGACAACATTTCTTTCAGATGATGATGATGACGATGATGATGATTATCATGAAGGATCCATTTGCTCATTCTGTGCCCACTGTGAGGTAGGATCTATTAGTCTAATGAAGTGGACAATGAGTTTAGTCTACTTTTGCCCTCATTCAGCCTGTCTCACCTCAACCAGTCTCACCTTGAATTTGGTGTTGATTTGTCATTGATCTCTTCCCTCAGCATTGCGACAGCTGTGACGAGTGCCCATGTAAAAAAGGAGACGACTCTGAACACTGCGACTTCTGCGATGTGAGAAATCCACCACAGACACACATTTTAGATAACGACAAAACTTTTACTAAACAACTCAATAGAAAACAATGCACACACACTGTATGATTTCATTACATTTCAAGAATATGTGCCCACACACACACACACACACACACACACACAATATCGTTGTATTGACTTTATCTTTTGAATTCATATTCAATTAATTGTTGTAAGAACTATTTTTTTATTAACTAATTTCATTTACCAGAACAAAATTGACCGCATCCGACATTTTGCATGAAATCCGGGGAAATTTTTTTTTCTACCATAGGCTACTACCAACTTATGGTAAATAAAGACTTTTTCAATAACTAGTCCATCACTATAGGTCCAAAACGAACTAGTCCCTGAGTTTTTCATGTAATTTACCCTCTATTTGCAACCCTTTTAACTTTTTTTGGGTCTGTTTTTCACTGAATATTGCTTTTCAGGCTTAATTTGATTTAAGGCCTACCACCAAAATACAGCATCGAATTCACACATAGCTGATTCAATGCTAATTGGTGGTTGTCTGAAGCTAAACCCTGTTCAAAAATAATTAATGGGCTATGCACGGCGTTATTTCCGTTGAAGGATTGGGGATGCTCGATAACTTCCGCCGATAGAGTCCAATGCAATACCGAGAATTTATTGAATTTTATACTCCATGGTTATACTAATGAAACGTTAGTCACAAAAACAGATAAAACAGACACCCCTCGTTGTGTTTATGCTTCTTTTAAAAATGATATTAAATAAACATAACTTTATATAAAATTACATCTAAAAGTATGTACGTTTCGTTTCAAAGACGGGAGGACAGTAAATATTGGAGACTCTGCCATAATCCCGTTTTCTCCGGTTTTCCTCCGCTTTAATCCGGAAATGGACGAGCATCCTTACGTCAAATGCGGAACTTATGCGTGCATATAGCCCATTGGTTGGTTAAACTTAAATTCAACAAATTAGTTCAATCAAATTAACTTTTATGAGTATTTATAACTTTTTTCTTCTTTTGAGTTAAAAACTGACACATTTTAAGAAATCTGAATTGTTTCATTGTATTGAATTTTATGCACTTGTTTGTCATTTAGACAAACTTAAATTCAATTGAATGTAGGCTGGGATTTCTATTTCCCAGCATGCTTTGCCATGACACCTCCAAAGGGAGAGTACATGCTAAAATTACATGTTAAATGGGAGATTTTGTAGTGTTGTAGTGTTTAATGTTTTTCTATGCTACTTTAACTGAATTTCTGTTATGTTGGGTTTTTTGGGTTTTTTGGGGGGTTGCCATCATGGTGACAAGTGGAGCATGAGCTTGATTTGAGAACAGATATATCTAATTTAGTCATATTCATTCAGCAAATGTTACATGCAAACAAGGCATTAAGTTACCAATTAACAAATTAGCATTAACCAAATTAGCTAGTAAAAACTAGTTAAGTTTCCACCACTAAAATTATTAGAATTGAAATTAGGGTGATAGCTGAACATAAATATTTCAACATATAAGTAGCCTAATTAAAATGTCTAAGCAAAGTAAACAACTGCCAATTCTGCTTATTTAAACTTTAAATTTCTTAAAAAAACAAACAAAAAAACACCTGAAATTTTGTTTGAGTTTTGCTAAATAATTCAGGTTTACAGTGTGGATATTGATGGGGTTCTTTTCTCCTTAAAAATACACATAGGCTACTACACAATTATTTAAAAAATCATAGCATGACATTTTCAGGACATTTTAACTGTCTTTTGTCTCTTCAGGACTGTGGAAAGTGTTATATCTGTCCTGTTTGTGACACCGTCTGCCAGCCTGGTAAGAAAAACTTTTGACAATAATATGCACATTTTGGTTGTTTAGATTGTGGATAATTTGTGGATAAAGTCTGATTATGTTATGAACTCATTACGTATTTTAAATTTTCCTCAAAGGTGGTTTTGTTGACTCAGTTTCTGGATCCATCTATAAGTAAGATATTATTCTCCTGAAAATAAAGCTGCGATACAAGTTGTTATAATCATAATAATATAATGATGTTATCGCTTCTCTTTTTTCAGGACTGTCGCAGATGTCTTTAATGATGACGACGATGATGATGGTGATGATGACGATGACAACTAAACCCACTTCATACCACCTTGTGGCCAAAAGAGGAACGTGCATTTGGGCGTTGCGTTTCACAGATTTTATTCACATTGTAGCGTTATGTTCATTGTCGTTAAGTTATTTTTTTTCTCTTTTTGATGTAATCGCATCACACGCTACAGGTCAATACATAGCTACACGTGGAATTTAAATAATTTAATTACCTTAAATTAAGTTTATTTAATTGAATAACATGTTTCCCTTTTAAACAGTCTTGTTATTAACATAAGTTATGAAATGAAATGTAATTGCAAACCTGTGTTGTTTTCACACTAGGATACTTATGGAATAAAATGATGGGACGTTTTATTTATGTGTATTAAAGTTCAAAAAATGATTCTTTAAATAGACTATAAAAAGTGAATTTTATATCACTGTCGACACCATAATGTATGTTTTTCACTTAGGCATAGCTATTTGCTGTCAATCGTTCAGCTAACGAAACATGATTTCCAAACATGGGTTGTGATAATTATAGATATGAATTATCGCCTTAAATGGATAGGCTACCTCACCCAACTAAATAAGTATATCAGGTCGTAGGCTATGTCAAATTGTGCATTTTCTTCAGCAGAAAAACATCAGGAGAGGATTTTTAGATATTTGGATTTTATATATTTTGATAGAACTATATGACACGATTCAAGATATGTACAAATAGCAACGTACAAAAGCTAAAATGTTTGCCTGGCCATAGTCATAGGCCATAGTTCAAAACGATCATCAGCCACTGCCTAACTTAATTGAACTTCACACACAAATATCCGAGTGAGACTAGAGAATGTGAAACAGAGGCTAAGCAGCTAATTAAAGTAGCCTATACACCAAAGACTCATTCACAAGAACGATTAGGCTATATTTACACACCAAGGGACGATAACGCTCTGGTTTTCATAAGAGCGCGCTTGGTGGATTCTGATTGTCAGTCAGTCAGTGTGTAAAAACGTTCGTCAGCTTGAATAAAACGTTCTGAAAAAGATTCCTCTGCTCTGTATCATTATTGACAGAATCATTATTATAGGTAGATCACCTTATTTATATATATATACTATATATGGGAGGCATACAGGGCATACAGGACTGAACAGCAGCCACAATAGGGAAACATGAGACAGGAATGTGCCCATATTATAGGAAACATGTAGGCAATACTCTGAAGAGAGAGAAGTACTTAAGAGAGGGTAACAACTCTGTTACTTTGAGCAAAACCTGTTGAGTCTGTCTGGAACAGTCTACAACCAAAGAGTTTCTAACACAACTAGCGAGAAGACTTAGTCCAATAATATTAATTATTAATAATAATATTTATTCATTTTTTTCTTCTGGAGGTTGAGTTGAGGTTGAAGCTGAACATGCAGAACCAGCCGCCAGCTGAAGCTTGGGCTCTAATAGTCTGATCCTCTGGGATGTTAAAAGTTAAATTATTTTTCACGTACCAATGTGATCACACCTCAGTCCAGTAGATGGCGGTAATGCACAAAGATTGCAGGCTGCCAAAATAAATAGACAGTTCACTGTAGAAGAAGAAGAGCCATGCACCGGTCACTTCCGGATCACGATCGTAGGAGGTAAACAGCGACTTCTGCGCGTCTTAATACGATATTACGATATAAAGAACATATTGTGTTTGATTTATATGTGTGTTAGTTTAGTAACTTATACGACTATTCTAGATTTCCTGATAACCTATCCTAATCTCTACCTTACTAAGCAATTATAAATCAGTGGGCCAACGTGTATTTATGTTGTAAAACTGTGCATACATCTGGTCACTAAACTCACATTAACGATAGATTTTTGCTCTATAAAAGACAAACATGACTCGACACGGGAAGAACTGCACAGCAGGAGCCGTTTACACTTATCATGAGAAGAGGAAAGACACCGGTAATAAACTCCTGCTCTTATTTATCTAACTTAATGTTTCTGTGGTGTTTTGTCTCTCTTATGTACATTCATTACATATGGTTAGTTACTGTAACAAATTGTGCATCTCTCTTGACTCCTCCAGCCGCTTCGGGTTATGGGACACAGAGTGTGCGTTTGGGGAAGGATGCGATCAAAGATTTCGACTGCTGCTGTCTCTCTTTGCAGCCCTGCAGGGACCCTGTTGTAACGTACATAAGAGACCCACTTTTACACGTATAATTGTATTGATTGTGAAATTGTCTTTGCATGCTGTTATATAAGTGTTTATGCTGCCTTAATTGTTTATGCTGGATGTTATTGGCCAATTGACATGTCAGCAGCTGGTGTTTGTTTATATTTGCTTACTGCAGTGAGGATGGGTACATATATGAAAAAGAAGCCATTCTGCAATTCATCCTTCACCAGAAAACTGAAATTGCCAAGAAAATGAAGGTTTGGGTACTTTTTACATGTGTTTTGTTCCAAATGTAAATGTCTCTCTCTGTTTGCCTAACAGACGTGCATATATTTATAACCTCAGGCATATGAGAAGCAGAAACAGGCTTTGAAGAGTGAAGGCCAGCTGGAGTCCAAGTCTGAGGAGCGACAGAGAGCTGAGAAGTTCAGAGAGAGAGAGAACAACATCGTCTCCAAGCCAATCAACCCCTTCACTTCAGGTATGGAAATTGGAGGATAAGATTAAACTAAAGCAGTGGTTCTTTCGGCTTTAAATGAATCGTTAGAGTCAATGATTCATTTATAAATACAGCTACTTGCTTCGTTACTGAATGAATGACTCTCTGGCTCACTCATAAAAACAGTGGCTCTGTCGCCACCTATACTCTAATTCGCTATTTCCTACATTTCTCCACTAATATAGTCCACTGAAAGGAGTGAATGAAAATGAGTGAGTGAATTCTGACACTTATGCTGGTAGAGTTGCCGCTTTTGCATAGTTTGGGCTTTCTGTTTAATAAGAATAATAATTTTAAACTTATTTAAAAAATTTATATCTATATGATTTTACGCTGTAGCCACATCTGACCATAGGTGTGACCATCACAATGCATAATGGGTATTCTCTAGCTGTTGAGCATACATCGGTTGTACACTTATTATTGCGGTGCATTTTGGGATTGAATGAGTGCACTCAATAATGTCCACTATGGTTTCGGAGACCACTATAAATGGCTATCCCCTCAAATAGTGTTCTATTTAAGGCTATGAGGGTCGATTTCGGACACAGCCAGTGACTTGCCTTCAGCTTCTGCTGGTTTTTGTTTAATATTTAAAAGTGTCACTTTGTTTTTACCATCATTGCATATTTCTCTATTGAACATTTTTTTATTATTTAAAACATTATTTATGTTATAAAGTTATTTATATAGCTAAACATGCATTTGAAAATCAATTTAGGAGACAAAAATGGTTCCTTAATGGAAAAAGTGTGAGTGCAGTCTAAGTGGAAGAGTGTATGCAGAAGGATGGTAAATGACTCGGGGGTACCCCACTCTTAAAAGTTTGGGAACCACTTTAGTAAAGTATACAGTGCCCTCCACAATTATTGGCACCCCTGTTTAAGATGTGGTCGAGGACTTTTAAAAATTCTCCCTTTTTTTTAAACAACATAGAATCCAAATGCAAAAAAAGAGAAAAATCCAACCTTTTATTTAAGTACATTACTTTGGTGGTAAATTTTTTTTTTTAAATTTAAAAAAATCAAAACTTCAAATCATGTGTCCCACAATTATTGGCACCCCTGATGTTAATACTTTGTACAACCCCCTTTTGCCAACAAGACAGCACTTAATCTCCTCCTATAACATTTCACAAGATTGGAGAACACAGAGAGAGGGATCTTTGACCATTCTTCTTTGCAAAATCTTTCTAGATCATCCAGTATCCTGGGCCCTCTCTTGTGCACTCTCCTCTTTAGCTCACCCCACAGGTTTTCGATTGGATTGAGGTCTGGGGACTGAGATGGCCATGGGAGGACCTTGAGTTTGTGACTGAACCATTTTTGTGTAGATTTTGCCACACGTTTTGGATCATTATCCTGCTGAAAGACCCAATGACGGCCCATCTTCAGCTTTCTGGCAGAGGCCATCAGGTTTTTATTTAAAATGTCCTGGTAGTTCAAAGCGTTCATAATGCCATGCACCCTAACAAGGTTCCCAGGGCCTTTGGAAGAGAAACAGGCCCACAGCATCACAGATCCTCCACCATACTTCACGGTGGGCATGAGGTACTTTTCGGCATACACATCTTTTGTTTTACACCAGATCCACTTAGAGTGTTTGTTGCCAAAAAGCTCAATCTTAGTCTCATCCGACCAAAGCACACGATCCCAGATGAAGTCCCAGTGCCGCTTGGCAAACTCCAGACGTTTACGTTTATCAGTGTTAGTGAGAAAAGGCTTTTTCCTAGCATGCCTCCCAAACATCTTGTTGGCATGTAGAGAGCGTCTGATGGTTGTTTTGGAGATTTTGTGACCCCAAGATGCCACTATTTGATGCAATTCTGTGACAGTGAGCCTAGGACTTTTTTTACTTTTCTTAGCATCCTCCTCACTGTGCGTTGTGGCAAGATAAACTTGGGACCTCTTTCAGCCTTGTTTGTCACTGTTCCAGTTTGTTTTAAACTTCTTAATGATTCCTCTAACTTTAGATACGGGCAAGATAAGGTGAGTGGCTATTTTCTTGTAGCCATTGCCTGACTTATAAAGGTCATCACACATCTGCCTTACTTGAATGGTGTGTTCTCTTGTCTTTGCCATGTTGACAAATGGGTAAGAGAATTAGGCCTCTGTGTCATGTCATATTTATACCCCAGGGAAATAGGAAGTCATGAATTACTAATTAAAAGTTCCTAGATACCCTGACCAACATTAGCAACTACAGAAAATATATTTTTTTAAAAATCAATTACATTTTTCAGCAGAATTGTTAGGGGTGCCAATAATTGTGGGACACAGGATTTGAAGATTTTATTTTTCTAAATTTAAAAAAAAAATTTTACCACCAAAGTAATGTACTTACATAAAAGGTTGGATTTTTCTCTTTTTTTGCATTTGGATTCTATGTTGTTTAAAAAAAAGGGAGAATTTTTAAAAGTCCTCGACCACATCTTAAACAGGGGTGCCAATAATTGTGGAGGGCACTGTAACTATAAGATTGCACGTATTCCTGCTTGATTATGTATGTTAACTCACTTCTCTTTAGGTAAATCTGAAGATGATGAAAGCCAGAAGGGCTCAACCAGTTCTGAGACTTCAGCGGGGGAGTCCAGTTCTTCCTCAGCTCTGCCCAGCTTCTGGATCCCCAGCCTCACACCAGAGGCCAAGCCCACCTTGGTTAAAAAACCTGTAGGTTTCTAGATCTGTCAGTTTCCCCTCTCTGACAGCCACGTGTCCCTAACCTTCTGTAGTCTCATATCATTCATGGAAGAACATTACATAAGAAATTGTAATACCCTGAAATCAGTTTGCATGCTTCTGCCAAATGTTCTTTTGGTCGGTCATGATGCCCTTGATTGGTTTGTGTGTGTTCACTAGCTTCTCGTAATGATTGTCCTCTTTCAAAGTTTATTACCCTGCATGAGACACTAGGCAGATCAACATGCTCTCAATTCAAGTTGTACACTTTACAAAGATATAAAGTACTCTTGACCCAATCTATCATCTTTAACTGTTTTTCCTCCTCTCCTGCTTTTTCAGTCAAAGACGGTGTTCTGCCCCATGTCAGGACGTCCTTTGAAGATGAGTGATTTGATTTCAGTGCGCTTCACTCCACTCGACCCCAGTCTGGACCGAGTGGCCCTCCTCACACGCCAAGTAAGATGGAAAATATTGTGATCTCTCACCTTTTCCTCTATTTCTCCTGAGCCACATCACTGTTCCTATTTAATGCTGCATAAACTGAAGTTTAAAAGTTTGGGGTCGGTAAGATTCATAAAATGTTTTTAAAGTATCCTTGGTTCAATAAGGCTGCATTTAGTTAAAAAATGACTCCACCACTCCAGTCTTCAGTGTCACCTGATGCTTGAGAAATACTTTTAAAGACCCGTTCACTCTACAAGCGATATGATATCATTAATTTCAATGGGTAGCGGGCAATTTCCGGCGACATGCGCAACATCGACCGGTGGGGCGTGTCTGGCGACGCGAAAAAGTTGATATCTGTTTAACAACTTATGCAAATGCAGAGCGACTTTCGGGATCGACAACCAATAGCAGTGAAGTCAGTGGAGCGCGTCACTCTTCAGTAAATTAAATATTCCATATTTCTATATTAAATATATTTATAAAAAATGACTGACTCCAAACTTTTGAACAGTAATGTATAATGATAATTTGAATTCGGAAAGTGTTTTAAATGATCCTCAGGACAGATACGTGTGTGCGGTAACCAAAGACACGCTTGGGAACTCGGTGCCCAGTGCAGTTCTCAGACCCTCGTAAGTTTGACTTTTACATTGTTTATTCAACAAGAATTGATCTGGCTTCATACCTTTTTATATATTTAGTCCTTCCTCTCACTTCTAGTTTCTCTCTTTTTTGTGTGTACTGTCTTTCCCTCAAGTGGAGCCGTAGTCACTATGGAGTGTGTGGAGAAGCTCATATTGAAAGACATGATTGATCCAGTGACTGGAGACAAACTGAAAGAGAAGGACATCATACCCCTGCAGAGGGTGTGTAAAAGAGAATTAGTGCTGAAGAAAATGTCTCAATATGTCACAAATGCAAAAAGTCAGTGTTTAAATGTCTCTTTGCTCATGGACAGGGTGGGACTGGCTTTGCGGGCTCAGGAGTGGATCTCAAAGCTAAAGAGGCCAGACCCGTTATGCAAGCATAAACGAGAGGATTGGACAACGCTTTGACCCTGTAAATATTATCATTCATTTTGAAGGACCTTTTCTCAAGTGCTTTTGGGTGAGGGGTAATTGAGTGGATGCTAAAAGTGTTTCTCTTTGCCCCTAAATATACTATCGTGTTATGTGTACACTATATACAGCATGTTTTTCTTTTTAATAAATAATTCCTTTTACACACTTTAAAAGTCACATTTGTCTTATTTTAATAGTTTGAAGAGACATTCAGGGTTTCTGTGGTCATAACAGGGTTAAAGTTCATCATGATCTTCCACCAGGGTCCCAAAGTCAGTTATTGTGCTAACTTTAATGTAATCCATTCTATCCATGATCTCACTGATAGAGAGACGACCATCCTGAAAATGACAGCAAATGACACAGACAGAATTTGGAAAATGCAGAGAGGAAAAAATGATTTAGTTGGAAAGAGAGATTAAGATGCATTTAGATTAATAAAAATTATTTCCTAAGCTTTTGTGAGTAATAATTACACCACCTATCAGAATACAATGCAATGTCTTTGTGAGAACATGTAAATTAAACCCCAGTCAAATTTTTTTTAAACCAACATGGCTTTATTTAGAATTCACAGAGAGAAAAATGTTCCACCAATACAGTGTCAATCACTTTTGTCTCCTCCCACACTGTAAAACGTGATCAGTTGAATAAGTGAGGAAACCCATTGCCTTAAAATTAAGTTAAAAACTTCATGCGTAATTGAAAAAATTAAGTTGTGAATTTGACAGTTCCACATAATTTAATTTGTTCAATTACACATGAAGTCTATTTACTTAAACCTATTGCCTTAATTATTTCTTAAGTCAACTGATCAGGTTTTACGGTGTACTTGCTGAATCCAACCCCTCTTTCCCTCCCTTTTTACTCTGGCTTCATTTCCGTATACCTCTTTTCATGCGAGTGGTATGTGGAATGTAAAATCACACACTACTAATGTGATAGTTACTTTGTAACAGTCAAATCAGGCCTGTTACATTGAATACTGATGCAACTGGCCCCGTATTGAAGCCTCCGCTTCCGGCTCATGGGACCTTATTTCGGAAGAAAATATGCATGGTAGTCAATGGCGAGAGACAACCTATCTTTTTATTCCGTCTGAACTGTTTTATTACACATATGATGTTTGTCAATTTAAAAGACAATTCTGAAAGTCAAAAGCGTCACTGTTTGTCATAAAATAGAAGAGTAACATTTAGTTTTATGTGAAAATCACTCATTGGACTACATCTCCCAGGAAGCAAAACAACGAGCGAGATCCGCTGCTTGTGTGTCTGGTACAAAACACTCGGGTATGATGGCGTGACTTTACAATTATAATGTAAGACTATAGAAACAATGACAGACATTAGCCTCAGTAAAGTTAGCTTCAGTCATTGAGAGAAAATGTGCGCCTTTGGGGTTTGTAGTCTTTGTAATTACATATTTTCACAGTCTTATACCTCAACGGTTTTACATCAAATTGCGACTTTCTTTACTTTAAAATGTATCTTTTAAATTGACAAACATCATATGTGTAATTCAGGGCACAATTCAAACGACATCAAAATATTTGTTGTCTCTCGCCATTGACTGCCATACAATATTTTCGACCCATGGTGGTCGACCGGAAGGGGAGGGACTTAGCCTCTCTGTTCAGTGCTGAATTCCTGAGCATCTCTCAAGTGGAAGATGTATGTCTGTTTCATCACAATATAAGTAAGCTGGAGTGTCTGTTCATAAGGAATGTGCTTGTTCATCATAATTTCTTTGCAAAGGCTGAAATGTGTTTGGCAATAAATAAAATGTGTATCTGTCTCAGTAAGATTCTTATCTTCATTGATTCTGAAGCTTGAAGACTAACCCCTGAACCTTGACCCTGGAAATGTTCCTACCCAACAGCCAATGAAGACTCTCATTTTCATATTCAATTTCCTATCCTCTTACCTACACCCAAACGATAATGCCCTCCCCTATACCCAGATATGCTAGCATTAAAGCTCATCGTGTCTTTTAGTGAGATCCTCTCCGTAATTAGTCGCCTGGCTCCCAACAAACATGTTCCAGTTTTCCAGAATCTCTTCCTTTGTGATTTTCTCATCCTGGTTAGTCAATTATGAAGCGGATGAAAGTCCATTGTGATTCATTGGTAGCAAATTAAAAGAAAGACAGAGGTAAAGATTAATTATATTAACAATTGATTGGTAATTATGCATTATTGCGAACTAAGGAAGCCACCCATACAGTATGTTGACCCAGTGGATGTCACTTACGTTGTCTTTATCAGTTTCGTGAATGAGATGCCGGGCTTCGTTGTCAGCATGGTCCACCTCTCCAGGGAGGATCCATTGAGATACTTCATCGGCATCAAGGACACCGTCCTAAAACAAACAAACCGTGAACCTTGAAAGAAAAGCCAGGAAACAGTCCAGGTGATGCTAATAGATGCCCTTCCCACTGCATACCTTATTCACGTCTCTGAACTCTGAGAAGTGTTTCTTTTCTGTTGTGACCCAATCTGGTTCATTTTCTCCATTTTCAGGGGTGAACATGTCCCCTAGGGTCAAAAGGAACACATGCAGTTATTTTCAATTTATATGACCACAAAATATCAGTTCTAATGTATGTTTTTTTTTTCCTCCCAGGAAAACAATGTAGAAATGTACCAATGTATTCCTGCAGATTAATCTTGCCATCACCATTCTTGTCAATGTCTTCAATTGTTTCCTGTAACATTGAGGGATAAATGTTTAGTGATCTATTCCATTGCTTCTCAGGTGGGTTGTTCTAATCTGACAGAGGATACATGTTAATGTTAAATAGCAAAACATAAGGGTGACACAGACTGTAAAAAAATAGGGGTGACCGTATTTATGGTAATTCATCTGTTACTTGGCCATTTTTCCACAGCTTATGTCATGTTAATAATTTTGCATATTGTTGGCATATGGTAATATTAATACATTTCAATGTTTGAAACAAATATTTGAAAAACATTTGTGTAGAATTAATTGCAACTTGTTCATCGTCAAGGCAAAATACCACAGGTGAATAGGGTAAAAATGTTAATTAACAGACATCGCCATCCTTCTCCTGTTGAATACTTACATTAACAACTGCAAAATTGGTTTGTATTACAAGTTTTCTAAAAGGTTCTGTTTAAATATGCAAATGGAGCTTTATCTAATTAAATATGCATTTATATGCATACATTTTAATGAAGCTAGATTCAAAATTATTGTTTCATTTTGTTGACATATTAGAGTTATTTATTCATGTTTTTGGAAATGTGAATTATATATTTACAAAAATAAATAAATATGTACTGTAATTGAAACCTTCAGATGCAAGTACATAAAGTGTAACAAAATAAACACTTAAATGTACATTTTGGATGTTTTCTTTCCACTAGTCTGAAATAAGACCCGTGGAAGTTATGGAAGCAAAAAATTGACCAGTCATTAAAAAAAAAAAATAATAATAATAATAATTTTTTTTCTCCCTGTATTGTGCTGTCTTGATGTCTGTCCCTCTTTCTGATTTCTCTATCATAATAATCATTGGTCCCTTCCTCCATTATCACCTCACCTGTATCACAATGTGTCTCATGTAGTCGAACTCCTCTGGATGGAGGAAGGCAGTAAACTCTTCTCTGGTAGCAACACCGTCCCCGTCCCGGTCTGCGGACTTGAACCGTCTCTCATCTCTAGTGAGCATGGCTTTGTAACTGCTTTTATCCTCCACATCATCAAACTCTACATCTGGAATACAGCAACATAGTACAAGTCAACCATTAATATTCTTTCCTTCTGCAGTATGTATGTCTAGTTTATGTTCATTTGCCCAACATTTTTTACCTGAAATAATAATTTATCCTTAATACAATTTATTTTTTGCCAAGATGTTGCACTTTTGTTGTAGATAATGAATCTTTTGAACCCTCTTTTGAACATCAGTTCCTCACTAAACATGATTAGCTGCCACATCCAAATTCAAAGGATTTGTTTTAATTACCCATATAATATCCATATGTGGTGTTCTTGTACTCAATCCATCCAATCTTCCCATCCTTGTTCTGGTCGTATTCTTTCCAGTGCTTGTCCACGTTCTCCTCGATGTACCTCCTCTGCCTGTGCTTGATCCAGTGGTGTAGCTCAGCATGACTGACGAAACCATCCTTATCTGTGTCAATCTTATCCACAATCTTTCTGCATGGGGGAGAATATAAGAATAGTAAGACACATGCTAATATCATTCTGCTATTTTCTGTATCATTCTCACATATTTCATTTTACCCTAGTCTCTCTTTGCTCTCCTCAGGGCTTAGCTGGTCAAAGGTCTTGGCCTCCTCTTTTCCCAGGAAGGCCTCGTGGTCATACTGGAAACCATGGGCATCATCGTGAGCATGATCACTGAGGTCAGGCTTATGATGTACACGCTTCTCCTGTGCAGGCACAGCAACTGTGACCCCCCAAAACAGGGCAAGTATCCCCAAAAAGAGCAGCTGCATATTGTCCCTAAAGAGTGAAAAAGACTTTATTAATTCTTTCTGACCTGAAAAAGTAAATTGCACACTAACACAAAAAGTCATTGTGCTTGGGAATGAAAATGTAACTTTATCTTCAATGGTCTCATTTAATTTTAAACTAAATTATACAGCATAGGTGTCTTATTTAAACTTTCAGAAGAAACAACTATTTTATTTTAAAGGATGATAATAACAAATAAATATATGTACAGCAGATAATGACTATTGAATGAACTGTACAAAAGCAATTGGCTTTAAAAACTACAAATGTGCAATTTAATTTAAATGCAAAATGTTTTTCATCTTAAATTTTAGAAATGCCTTACCAAGCCTGCAGTGATTTCTGCTTGAGTACACCCTGAAGTTGAAGAGTAGCTTACGCGTTGGCACTGTTCTTTAAAATGCACGTAAAATTAGGCGGGGCAACGATGTTACGTGTACTCAAAATGTTTTATTGACAGGAAAAACAGCCAATCACAAGACCTAATTAGGCGGGGCCGAGGAGAATTCTAAGTTCTACTGGCTGCAAAACGCCACGTTGACACGCGAACGCACATTAGAGAGTCAGGCGCGTTTTGACAAACTGGAAAAAAGTTTTAGGAAATAAACTTTTATGTAACATGCAAACTGTTTTCGTGAAGTCTTTAAGGCGCAAGTTCATTCGGGTCAGTGGTCTTTTAAATTATTTATACGTCTCATAGGCTAAGTAGTAACATTTTAAATACTAGCTATTTTAAGAGTGCTGAGCGCCATGTCATTTTGTAAAAACTTTTTTTTTTTTTTTTGCGAGTTTTTAGGCTAATAGCTACAAACGTTATTTCAGATTCAACCTCTGGATCAAAACAGATTATTCAGAATAGTTGGTCAGTTTGACATCAATGAGAATATATACAAAATGTAATGACATACTACGTCAATAAAATAAAGACAATTATTCCCTGGGAATCAAACTTAACCTTTGTTTTGCTATCGCCATGCTTTGCTAATAGAGTTAACATGTCCAAGGTACTTGAGCAGGCCTAGACAAATGCAAATATTTAAAACGTTTTCTTGGGAAAATTCTGCAATATAATAATAATTTGTTACGTTTATATAACGCTTTTCTGGGTACTCAAAGCGCTTTACACGGAATGGGGAATCTTCTCAACCACCACCAATGTGCAGCGTCCACCTGGATGAACATACGTGTTAAATTGAACTGAGGGATCTATAATAATATTGGTAGCTTAATGCATAATTAGATAAGCCAAAATATTTCCTAAACAAACAAGGGCCAGCATTCACTACTGTTTAAAGTTTTGGGGTCAGTAAGACATTTTTTTTCTTTTTTCTAAAAAGATATTCAGCAAGGATGCATGAAATGGATCATCATAGGTGACTAAACATTAAGAAGTTACGAAAAGATTTCTTTTTCAAATAAATGGAATTCTTTCAGGATCAAAGAAAAAATATTAGGCATGCACAATGGATCATGTGTCAATGAAGACAGGAGTAATGGCTGCTGAAAATTCAGCTTTGACATCACAGGAATAAATACAAATTTACAGCTAATTAAAATAGAAAACAGTTTATACCTTATTTTGATCAAACAAATGCAGCCATGGTGAGCATAAGACATTTCTTTCAAAACATTAGAAAATCTTACAGACCCCAAATTTTTGAATGGTAGTGCATATAACTTTATGATTAAGGGGGCTTGAATTCTGCAGAAACCAACATATCTTTCTGCTTACAGCATCCCATTTCTACATTAGCCTGCTTATGAGACAATGAGTATACTTGCACCTATGGATGCTCTAAGACCAATGCCACTTAGCTGTGTCTACTTATGCCTCCTTCAACTTTATCGCTCCTTATTCGGTTGTCTCTCGACCCCCCCCCCCATCCTCCCTCACATCTTTTTGCGCAACTTTTTACACCTGCCCTCTTTCTTTACCTCTTTGTCTCTCTGCAGACACACACACACACAGCGCTTCGTCCCACGGTCCTCACCCCTTCTCTCTCTCTCTCTCTCTGTATGTGTGTGTCCCCACTCTTCTCTCTTTTTGCCTGTGGCTGTGTGTCTAGTACCATGGAGCAATTGAAGGTGACAGGGCCAGAGAGAGAGGAGGGGAGAGGGAGGACGTGGTACTCTAGCCTGGGGGCACACAACAACACAGAGAGAGACAGACAGAGAGAAAGATGGTAAAGGAAATGGGAGGGCAGAGACGACAAAATAAGGAAGACGACAAGTGCTCTGGAACCAAACGGATGACACAGAGTGATGGAGAGTCTGTGGGCCTAATGAATTATTTGTAATTGATGCATTAACATCAGTGCCTCTGCCGGATTTTGGCGTCACACACTGGATGTCAAATACTACACTTACTCCGTCCTTTACCACATATACATGCACTCTCATACATGTACACGTGTTTTTTTTAAGAACTTGATGTTAATTTGTCCCGGCATTGTTGCTATGGTGACCTCTCTTCCCCCTCCCCCCCAGCAGAGAGAGAGAGGGTGACAGGGATGAACTAACAAGACACTGAAAAAATGTGCCCTGAAGGAGCGTACGCTCACACACCAGCACACATAATAAACGCGCACTCAACGTCACATTTGTGCAACACGCTGACACTAAATAATAGCAACATTTTATTAGGATCCGTTCTCATTTGCTTCATTTTTGTAACTATTTCAAAAAGTATGACCCACACGGAGAAAGATGCTCTTCGTCTCCCATTGTGTTTCAGTTCAAATCCTCCGTCTATTTGTCTTTTTCCATGAATCCTCTAAACGAGTGACAAAGAAGGGGGGAGGTGGATGAGAGAGGAAGAGAGCGGAGGGTTTTGTCAACCGGAAATAAATAAAGCTGGCACCCTCCTTCTCCTCCGCCTCCTCTGTCTCTCATCTTCGTGCCCTCCGTGTCCCCCTTCCTTGTTTTTTTTTCTACAAGGATACATCCATGGCCTCGTTATGTCTTCCCTTTTTCTCTCTTTCTGTTTCAGTTCCTTCGCTATCATGCGTCGTGTAGCCTACTGCATGAAACTCCTTGTGTTTTTGTTCGTGCCGTGACAGTGTTTGTTAACCTGATGTTGCTTAAAGGGATAGTTCAACCCAAAAATGAACATTCTGACATCATTTACTCATGTCAATTCCAGGCCGGTTTGATGTTATTTCTTCTGGAACACAAAAGGAGATGTTTAGCAAAATGTTCAAGCTGCTCTTTTCCACACAATGAATGACAACCAGTGGGTGTCAAGCCCCCGAAAAGCAGCATAAAAGTAAGATAACGGTAGTTCACATGACTCTTGCACTATATTCCACTGATTACACATTATTTCATGGTGACAAACAATGTAACTACACAAATAAGCACTGAATAATATTAATAAACAATGTATTTGCACTCAAGTGGGTAGAGCATTTTAATAATCCATTCATTTTTCCACTGTAAAAAACAGTGGTCACGATTCCAAGGTTATTTATGGGTCCATATAAAGAGCCTTCAATTTTAAGAGTTTATTGGGATTAAGGTTAGGGTTAGTTTCTTGTAATAATGCATAATTTATTGTTGTTACTGTAGCATGTACATGTAATGTGTAACGTGTCACCATTCACTTTCATTTTATCAAAATGAGCCGTGTGAATATTCTGCTGAACTTGATGTTCCACAGAAGAAACAAAGTCACACAGGTTTGGAAAAAATGATGAAAATTCATATTTTAAGGTAAACATTTTTTAGTTTAAGTTTTAAATGATCTCTTTAATATGTGTGTACATCTGCTCTCATTTGTAAACTAATAATACCCTAGATTAAATAGAAGGAAAATAGCAGTGTCTCATAGGGTCCCCTTTGTCCAAGACAACATTCCCCCCACCTAGACTGATATGTACTTTGTTGTAATAAAAATAAATAATCTCATGTCAGTGTAATTTTGTATGTTTTTTGTTTATTATTATTCTTAGATTTTGTTATTATTAATACATTTGAATCATTTTAAGACTTTTTGGTGGCTTGTTGAGATACTGCCTTACAGTGCTACATCACAAGAAAACATATGCTTCATAATTCAAAGATCGGTCTAATACCCAAAAGACGAAAACAACACCTCTTTGATCCCTCTTACCTCAAGCATTTGAGGTCTCATATTTATTCGACTTTTCTCCTAAGTTGAACCTTTCATATTAACTAGCACCAAAATTGTCATGCTTGAATGTTGGTTGAGTCTCCTTTATAAAAACGGCAAGTCTCTCTCTCTCTCTCTCTCTCTCTCTCTCTCTCTCTCTCAGTTTTTCTCTCGTATTTTAACGTGTCACAGGCTCTTTGGTTTTTAAAGTTAATCCAATAAAATATGCAAATATAGCATTGGGATTGTGACAAAGTGCAGTGGAGGGTAAACATGCTATATACACTCTGACGTCTGTGTGTGTGTGTATCAGAAAAGAGGCCCTTGCACGCAGGTCTTCTCATGTTTGCATGTAATCATTCTAGCAAGTGTGAAGTTGTGTGAATTTGTTTTCTTCTCGAGAGCGGCAGTGTCTTGATTTAAAATACAAGTATGTAAAGATCTGTTCATTGTGCACCAATGTCATTTTAAAGGCTGAAAAACGATAGGCTACTAAAGTTAAAGTAATACTCCATATTATGAGAACTACACATCTCATATACTTACCAAAGCTGAATTTATTTCATAAGAAACAGTAAAAACATTAATATTGAGCAAATATTATTACAGAAGTATTTTTTCTATTTAAATGTTATTTATTCCTGTGATGGCATTTTCAGCATCATTAGTCTTCAGTGTCACATGATCCTTCAGAAATATAGTCTAATGATGATTTGCTGCTGAAGACACATTTATTGCAATTGTACTGCTTAGTATTTGATGAATAGGAAATTTGAAAGAACAGCATTTATTTTAAATAGAATCATAAATCATAAAAGCCTTTATTTTGATTAATGTAATGTGTCCTTACTAAATAAAGGCATTAATTTCTTCAGTTCTTATACTGAACCCAAACTTGTAAACGCTTGTGTATAAAAACTACATCTGATCTACAACTTGTAAAATACTACATTACTCATCACTGTAAAAAAATATTGTTGGTTTAACTTAAAAAAGTAAGTAACCTAGTTGCCTTAAAATCTTTAAGTTGATTGAACTGGAAAAAGTTAATACAATGGAGATTAATACAATGGAGATTAATTAATCATCAGAAACTCAAAACAATAAGTTATCTCAAGTAGATAAATTATTTAAGTTGATTTGACAAAAGAAAAAATATTGTGATAACAAATCTTGAAAATATTTTTTACAGTGTACTACTAACAAATTTACTCATTACACATGATTCTTTCGAGATTCATTCTTAACAATTGCTTTTTTTGTTGTATATTTGCTGAGGTCAGACATTTTTCCACACTGTAAAAAAAAAATACTTTCACGGTTTGTAATCTGGTGTTTCTGGTGATTAAATTAATCTCCTTCATTGTATTAACTCAATTAACTCAATAACTTAAATTTTTCAATTTCAATGAACTTAAAAATTTAAGGCAACCTGGTTTCTTATTTTGTTAAGTTAAACCAACAATATGTTTTTACAGTGCAGTTCCTTGTCACTTGTCTGAGAAGCTTTTGACTACTTAATGAGAAGTCAAAGTGTCAGTGCTCCATTTATATCAGCACACTAAAGAATCTAAAGGGAAAATAGTTATTATTTTTATAGGACCCCAAGTATATCAGCAAAGGAGATGTCATCAGCACGGAGGGTTAACCCACCACTGGCCGCAGGCCGTCACAGAGCAGGTGCATGATCTAAAGCTCTCTTACAGCTCTTAGGTTAGCCATTTTTGCAAGTCCGTATCTACAAACAGCGAATTGCCTTTGTGAGACTTTAGAAATAGCTTTACGTCTCCTCTTTTTCGGTCATTTTTTGCCTCCACCTCTCTCTCTCTCACTTCATCACCCCCTTTCCTGGCATTAAGTCCAGACCTGACACTGACACTGACTCTGTGTGTCATCCCTCTCTCTCTCTTTCCCTCTCTCCCTCATTGCTTCAAGGGCCAGAGTGCCTGCAGATGCATTTCTCTGTAGCCCACTACCCCTCCCTCGCCTCCTCTCTTTCGCCCTGTCTAACTCTCTCCATCTTTCTCTCCCTTTCCTCTCCTCCCATGCTCTCTCTCTCTCTCTCTCTCTCTCTCTCGAACACAGTCTAACATTAACAAAGCGAGAGAGCAGAGAGAAGAAGAGAGGGATGAACAGAAAGTGATAGAGACACTGAGCAAGTGTGGACCACTTTTACAATTCATTCATCTACCAGGTGAGTCTCCTTACTTTACTGCCGACACACCGATTGAGACACTAACAGAAACATGACTCTTTTAATGTAAATAACAAATAGAGTGAGGAAAATGACTGGTTAGTTGTAGAACGCTTATGGCAGACTTGACCTTTGACATTTTCTGTTTTGTGTGATGCCACCAAAGGATAAATTTAAATAATTGAAATGTGCTCATATTCATCTTGGCCCTGAGAGTCATACAGTTACTTTTTTTGTGTTTTGTTTCTCCTTCCATACATCTGTGTATTTGTCTGTTTAGTAGTCCTATCTTCTTTTTTTGTCTCTCACAACCCATGCAAATATTATCATGCGAGCACTTCTACGTCATCTTTAATGATTAGATCTATAGTATTCATGATGACGGCCTCCTTTCTGTGTATGTTTTACATGCAGAACTTTTTTTCTGACTCTTCAACAATATTTATTTATTCAGCTGAACGCTGTTTTATAAATGAATGCTGGATACACTTACATTTCAGTTGGTGGCTTCACGACACAAAAGGTAGATTGTGTGCCATTGTGTGCGGTGTATCTATAATTATCTCTTTTGTTTTGTTGGAGTGTGTTTTTCTATGTTGTGTAAAGCCTGTGTGTGTCTGTGCATTGTTGTTAACATTAGTTGACAGTATTACTCTCTCCAGTCATGCGTGTGTGTACGACGATGTCAGACTAGATGTTCTGTACTTCTTAATTACTTGCTCTCTGTGTTTGTTTGTGTGTGTGTGTGTGTGTGTGTGTGTGTGTGTGTCTGTGGGGGTTAATGTGTGTGCACGTGTGAAAGATAGATGGGTAAAGACAATTGTGACCCATACTTTAAAGAGCAGATGGGTCATTCCATTCATTTTAATTTGATATGAAATTTCTGTAAGATTTAAAAATATTCTGTTTTCTGGACATATACTGTTTTAAGTGTTAATGAATTACATTGTGCAATCTTAATTCATACATTTTAATATATGCTATGTTATGTCTATGGTAACAGGGTTGACATTTAACTGTTTAATTTGACATTTAAAGCCTTTCATTGCTGATATTTTTACGTATAACTACTTTTAAGTTAACCGTTGTTTACTTTCAGAAATCATAATAACAGGGTTGACATTTTAAGATGTGCATAAATGGATAACAGTTTGTGGACTTTAACTTGTCATTGGAAAGTTAACTTCTTAAAGGACACTGATGCCATTTCAACTAAGTTATTTTAATCTATAGAATAGTAGGCACACAAATAAAACTTTGGTTTTTATTGAGATGCTAAAATGCTAGCTTTTGATTTTGTTTTCAAAAATTGTGCATACCCTCTAAATGTTGGGTTGTTTTAACCCAACTTTGGGTCAAATATGGACAAACCCAGCCATCGGGTTAAATTTTTTTTATTACATTTTTAACCCAAAGTTTGGATTTGTACATATTTGACCTAAAGCTGGGATAAAACAACCCAACATTTTTAGAGTGTAGTTGCTGATAATGCAAGATGATGTTGGAAAAGCTTATTGGTGTGTTTATATATATATATATATATAAGATATATATATATATTAATATGCCACCATTATATATGTAAGTCCTTTTTTACCTATATGCATATGAGACGAAACACCCGTTTTGTAGAATGACCCAGATCTGTTTATTCTCAGTTACAAAACATTAACATAATCAGCAAATCAGCAAAACCTTTTTTTTTTTGTCTTAAAACCATGAAGAGGCAAAAAGAATTAAATATGACAGCTGTAAAATATTTTTCACAGTTTTGCTTCTTTTGTCCTTCATTCAGTGTTGGAGTGGTCTGGATGAAAGAAGGAGAGGGTCAGTGTTTTCTCACAGGTGACATTTAATGTATGAGAATCTGACTATGCTGAACTTACAAAACAACTCCAACTGGACTGGCCCAAACAACTGGTACCACCCGGCCGACACCATCACCCCTCAACACGGAACAAGTATGTGAGCGTTGGTGAATTATCTCTGTATCTAGCACCTCAGCATGTGAACGTACACCGTGTGTATGCGTGCCAGTGTTTTTGAAGTCAGCTTTGGGGTGAACCAGCAATTCTTTTACTTGACTGAGCACAAACAGAGGGTGCCAACAGCTACACCATCAGCCACGCATGTAAACCCACACCCACATACAAACACGGCAGTCTCTGGCCTTGACATCCTCTGTTTCATTACAGGAAGGCGGAACTAAAGCGAACAGACATTAGACAGAATTAGATGCCCATAATACAGTTGCTGCTCATTCACACGTACATAAATAAGGTCAAACTGTCAAACACAAGATGCTGCGGTGCACTAGAATTACACAATCTTCAAAGAGACAGTGCTGTCTATATAATTACATACACATTTGCACACTGAAACGCAGCACTCTTATGAGACTCTCTAAAGTTGAATGTTTTTCTCTTCTTCTCTCAGATGGTTGCGTGGAAGATCTGAATGCGCAGATGGCCGGAGCAGGGGAAGGAGTGGTGCCGGGAGAGAGGGATGAGGTGGACGAGTCACAGCTACACCTGCAGCTAAAGAGGAAGCTGCAGAGGAACCGCACCAGCTTCACACAGGAGCAGATCGATGCCCTGGAGAAAGGTGTGACTCAAAGCGCTGGCTCAAACTGAGCTCTCCATGCAAAAAAATCTCAGTACTACAGAGGATAGATATTTTACATATGACTATTTTTTAATATAGTAAATCATGACACCAGGGTTGATATTTTAAGATAATAAAAAAAATTATAACAACAAGTAGTTACATTATGAGCAAGTTATTTTGATCCATAGAATAGTTCATTACTTTCAAAATGGAGAGTTACAATAATAACAGGGTTCGCACAAAACTCAAATCTAATTTTTTTTAAGGAATTAATACGAATGTACTGAATAAGATAAGAATAAGAAAAATGTACTGTATTTTGTTGATGTGTTGAAGTTATTTATTAATACGCTAAATTTGGCATTAGCTTTTCACTGTTAAAGTCCTTTTTTTCATGCAAAATAATCTCAATCCTATATTGTGGATACTGTATGTGTTCCCTTTCTTATTCTTTCATGTTTTGTCTTTTACTCTACTGTAAAAAATAATAATAATTTTGTCCCATTATTTACTCATCCTCATGTTGTAGCAAACCTGCATGACTTTTTCTTCTGTGGAAGAAAAAGTAATTGCTTGTTTTTTTCTTCCATACAATGAAAGTCAATGGGGTCCAAAGTTGTGTTCTGTACAGAAGAAAGTAAGTCATGCAGGGTTGGAAATGACATGACAAAATATAATTTTTTTGGACAAACTATCCCTTTAATATTTTAAATATTAAAAATATTTAAAAGTCTATTAAATCTGTTTTCCAGAGTTTGAGCGGACTCATTACCCAGATGTCTTTGCTAGAGAGAGACTGGCAGCAAAGATTGATCTTCCAGAGGCTAGAATTCAGGTAATAGTTTTCCTTTAGCATTTTAATTATCTTCTTCGAGATTTGAATTGTGTTAATTCTGATCTGCCTTTAAACAATACAGAGAGACACTGTCCATTATGCACTGACCCATTTTGGGGTGATTGACAGGTATGGTTCTCCAATCGGAGAGCTAAGTGGAGAAGGGAGGAAAAGCTGAGAAATCAGAGGAGGTCAGGGGGCACCAGTTCCTGTTCTCAGACACATACTCCTCTAAGCACATCCTTTAACTCCCCTGTATATCACTCCAATCATAGCAACAGCTCAGGTATGTCTTATGACTTACTTCACACTATTAGAAACATGTATGGTTTGCTTTATAATTATTGAAAGCAAGATTTCTCCATTGTTTTCTCTCCTATTTTCATGCATTGCTGTTTGTTTCACTTTGTCCTGTTTGTTACTCTTTCTTCAAATTCTTCAATTCAAATGTCAGTGTCAAAGTTCTTTATTGCCATGATTACAGTATTGCCAAAGCAAGCATCAATAAACACAAAAGCAGTCGTAATAGTAATAATAATGAGCTGATTCTATCCTCTTCTGTTCTCTTATATAAGGCTCAATGCACAGTCGGGGTGATTCGTCTCTCTCAGCCTACAGCTCTCTGTCTGTCTTCTCCAGTATGCAGGTAATTCATGACCTCCTTTGCAGTATACCATAGTAACCTTATAAGGTGTCTGGCCTGATGCTCATATTTGTAATTTTACATCAGTGTTTAAAAGTGTATTTTTTGTGTCTGTTATGACTTATTGGCTAATACTGGCATCTAGTGGTGTGCAAGAGTTGTATGTTACAAATGCCACTGTATTAAAAGTGATTGTTTCACACCAAATTAAAATTATGTCATCAGTTTACTCACCCAGTTAATTTCATATGTTCTGTGGAACTTAAGAGAGAGTATTTTGAAAAATGTTTCAGAGGGTTCCCCCCTCCCCCATTCAATGTAAGTCAAAGGTCACCAAAACTGTCTGGTTACCAATCATTTTCATTTGGGGTGAACTGTCTCTTTAAAGCTTGAGTCAGGAATGATTAGAGCAGTCCATTTACAAATTAGGCTACTTATTTACAGGTTCTCTTAATGAATCTTTCAAAAAAGACTCACAAATTTGACAAATCCCCACATGGATGAACTCACTGAATTAAACAGAGGGGCTTTTTAATAAATAAATAAATAATAATAATAAACGCTGCACTTTTAATGTAGGCTATGCAGTTAGCGTTTATTCATAGCAATTGTATTTTAAAAAATACAGTTTTAAAGTAGGCTACTGTCAGCTACTGTGTGCAAAATATAAACAGAAATCTATTCTTTTAAGACTACGTTTATTTTTAATGTCTTAATTAAAAAATGATGCCCTCTCAAACATAATAGCATCCGCCTTTTTGTTTCTTTAAAACATGCAAAAGAGAGTGCTTTCTAAAATAGTAAATAATGCAGACAGAAATTCCAGTAGGCTACACGCATCTATCACGCAAGGTAAAACAGTTCTTTATTAAAGGGTAACTAAACCCCAAAACAACTTTTTTTTAGTTAATGATTATCTGTAAGACTGGGGCTTTATTAATGCTGTTAAATAATTCTAGTAATTTTTTGACATTTGGGTGTGTTTTAATTCTACAATATATGGTGTAAAAAGTGCTGCCCTCTTAAGGTTGAACTGTGGCTACTGCAGTTGACTTTTCCTATAGGAAGTTGTGGTGCCCTGTGATGTAACAGGCACCAACTAACCACGCCCTTGCCAACAGAGAGACCGTCTCAGGTGCACGCCCCCCTTCGTCGGGGCTCTGCCCACTTTTGCCAGTAGCACCTCAATGCAGAACATGAGATCCACGGGGAGGAGTCGGATCACGATCCAAGGGGTGGAGATGGGTAGGATTAGGGTTGGGTTTAGGGGGTGGGTTTATGGATCAGGGGGCGGAGTTAGCTAGTTTTAGGTGTATGTAAGGTGGGAGGAGTTGGATCTGGATCCGACTCCTCCCCGTGGATTTCATGTTCCGCAGTGAGGACCATCTCGCATTTTTCAAATATTGCCAGTGGGTGGAATCAGGCTCTGACCAGGGGTTTAGTTCCACGCAGAAATGAAAATTCTGTCATCATTTACTCACCCTTGAATTTCTCTCTTCTGCTGAACACAAAGGAAGATATTTTGAAGAACGAAATACTAAAAATACTATGGTCCCAAACTTCCAATCTTTCTTCAAAATATCTTACTTTGTGTTCAGCAGAAGAAAGAAACTCATACAGGTCTGCAAAAACTTGAGTAAATGATGACAGAATTTTCCATTTTTTGGTCCTCCTGATATTCAAACTCATTTAAAATCTTTTATGTAGCGCCCTCTACCGTTGCTGTGGAATATACACAGGCTGCTGAAGTTTCTAAAAATAGACACTCGCACCGAGTCGCACGTATACAGCTGGTTTACAGTTCAACTTCAACAGTTAATTTTTACTCTAGAAATCCACTTCACTTCCTTTAGTCAAACATGACTTCAAAATCAATCACGTCATAGCAACACACCCACTACAGTGCTTGTAATGCTCAGACTTGACTGTGACTAAGACATTGATCTAAGACACCATCATAAAAACTTCAGAGTAATCTTTTAAACTTGTATGGTTTTTATTTTTTAATTAGAAGCTGTCAAATTAGTTTATTTATGAATATGTTCATACTATAAATGAAATGAGATGAGATTAATCTTTTTTCACCCTTCTTTCCTCTCCACTAGTCTTTGCCCTCCCAGTCCACTCCAACTTATTCCTGCATGTTACCTCCTTCTCCTACGGCCCTTCCCCCTCTTTCTCGTAAATTTGACTCCTCATCCTATACCTCTCCCCACCTCCCGCCCCCACCGACGGTGAGCACAAACACAGGTGAGTGAAGATTTGTAACCTCCACCCTCACACACACACCGCATATGAATACTGTAATCCAAAACACTGTGAATGTGATTTAACTGCTTTGTGGTTTCCTTTTTGTGTTACTAATCTGTGGTCAGAAGTGGCCATGTGTGAAGAACACAATGATAAGCCCCTGTGTCTCTTCCAGGATTCTTTGCCGGTGTTTCCGCAGCAGGGCAGACTGCAGTTCAAGGCGGCGATCAGGAGCTGGGACAAGGTCTGGGTCAGTACTGGACGAGACTGCAGTAAACAACACACATTATCATTATCAGATAAAACCAGCAGAGCTTCAATCAGCAACTTTAAGCAAAGTATTTAACAAAAAATGCATCAGGAAACCCTACTTATTTAGATGATTTACACATCAGGGAAGCAGACTATGTAAGCCATAATCCTGTATAAAAAAAAAGATGTGGACATCACAAACCTGCACATGTGGAAGAGAAAATGGACTCCAGCATTTTTGACCTGCACCTTTATAGGACTAGTCAGCAGCACAATGCCAGACAATAGCACAGTATCATTCTCAGATATTGGTGAGAAAACAGTGCACATCTAAAAATGCCTCATGTTTCTAGAACATAAAAATATTTTTTAATTGATGTGCCAATTACAATCAATATGACAAACAGCAAGTGACCAAAATGAGGATGTTTTAAACGGCATTTGTGGTTATACACAACTGTTCATAAGTTTGGTGTTGGCAAGATTTTTTTTATATCTTTGAAAAGGCTGCATTTATTTGATCACAAATACAGTAAAAACAGGAAAGTATTCATATCTTAAAAGAAAATCCTACTGACTCCAAACTTTTGAACGGTATAGATTAATGGTATTGAAAATAATGGATTTTCAGAAGTCTATTATGAGCCTATCAGTTACCAGTCCATCATAATATAGCACTGACGTGGAGAAACCAATGACAATCAAGCTTGAACCTGAGCTAAGCACTGACAATCAATCAATTGCACAAAGTAGCATAAAGAATCAAAACAACTCCATGTAGCCGATGACAGTCAAAATACATTATTGCGAAAGGCTGCAAAGACAATCAAACACACAACTGATCATGTGTAATATACTGAAGTTAATCTAATGATTTATTACTGTACATTGTTATATGGACATTACTGTGATTTGATTCTTGCTTTATTTCACCACTCTGTAACATTCATAGGTTTTTTTCCCTGTCAGATCCCATGAACTAGATTTGTATGTTCGAATGTGTGTGCATATGAAAAAGAGAGACAGAGATAGGGAGAGAGAGTGATAATGTTACTGTATTTATTATTAGAAATGTGAACATTTTAGTGTAAGCCCTTTTGTGGAATATCTTAACATTGAAATAAAAATATTACAGTGAAAAGGAACATGGATTAGTGTCTTATTATTCTTATGCATTTGCATGTACACTTAAGTGCATCTCCCAGAACATTCTTCTATGACTTTATGCATGTCTGTCTCCCCTCATCTTTATATTTTTCTCTAGAGTAATGGTGAATTGGTTCACTTGCAGCCGTTTGGGTTGTGTTTACTTATTACTGTCAACGAACAGTAGCATTTCCTGCCTGTGTGCTGGTGGATTTCCTGTTTTTGTTACTCACGTTACCACACCCATTGAAAATAATGTTCTGACAAAGTTATTCTCACAGGGACTCAGATGCAGACAGTACAGGAGTTATGAATAACTTTTGATGTAATAAGATATATGTCTTTATCTCACATACCAGAACATATTTATAGAAAATATGGCCACTTGGCTATATATTTAACCAAAAGATATAGATTCAAATTAAAATCTTTTAAAAATCAGTTTGCCGTTTGTCCTTGAATTTCCTTTGGCACTCTCACAAGGAAACTGGAACGGATACACTTAGAGGTCTGACTCTGGCCATATCTGAGATGTATCCTCCAAATTTCCGGCGCACTACACTTGATTAGTTTAATTAAGGCCGATGTTAACGAGCTGTGGAGACTGAGAGGGCAAAAGCACGCAAAATTCTCTGTTTGAGCAAAGGTCACTGTAATAGTCACGTCTCTTCTATTCCCACAAGGCCTCCAGTCTCCAATCAGAGCATGTTTTATCTAGTTTGTGCGAACATGGGGTCTCCTCCCTCAAAATCATCGCTCCATCTCTACCCCTCCCTCTATCTGTTCATCTCTTGCCCTCTGCCTGTCTTGGACTGTGGTTCTCAAGTGAATAAACACATCCTCTGTTTCTCAGGCTAACTTCCTGGAACAGCTGAATGTGACAGATACAAACTCTGATACATGTCTAAAACAATATTCCAGGTTATTCAGTACAAGTTCATCTCAAACGGCAATGTCTGTGGCATAATGTTAATTACCACATTTTGACTTGTTCCTGCTTATCTTTAAAAAAGCTACAATATGGGTTATGGTGAGGCACTTACAATGGAAGCGAATGGGGAAAATCTGTAAATGTTAAAATACTGACTCTAAAAAATATGCATGTTAACATAATTTTGGTGTGAAAATCGGCTTACAAACTATTTCCAAGTCAAGTTATCCGATTTCACAACCCTGTCCCATGTAATCCCTAAAACCCTCAAATAATTGTAAAAAATTATGAATTAAACAGATTTACAGCTTATAAGTTTTAATTAAGGCACATGGTAATTGAAATTATAAGCTTCAGTTCACATATATGCTTTTAATCCTCCAGAACTTGGCCCCATTCACTCTCACCGTAACCTCTATTTTTGCATGTTAAATACCAATATGATTTTTCTTCTCTTTATTATTATTTTTGAAAGAATTCAAGGGCCGAAATTAGTTTGAATGGTATTCAACCGCATATGCTATATGAACGCTGCCAACTGATCTTGGTAAAGGAATATTCTGGATTCAGAAAAACTCACTTAATATTACATTATTACAGATGCTCTTTTTAAATTCAAAATGACTAAAATATTGTGCAGATGGCAGGTTGGCCTAACTAATAAAAGTACAGGAAGTTAGATGGCACACAGGTTAAGTCATTGGGGGTCTAATCATCTATTGCAGAAAATACACAATTAGAAATTTAAAATCCAACAGCTTAAAGGTCACATGAGAGGGGTAGCCATTTTCAACTCTACAACCACATTTAGAGTCCACCAAACTCTCTCTCTCTCTCTATCTCTCTCTCTCTCTCTCTGTGTGTGCGTGTGTGTGTCTCTCTGAGAGTTCTTTGCTGATTTCCTGTCACAGAGGAAGTGCCTCACCCAGCTGTGTTGCTCCCTATTGGCTCACAGTCAGGAGAACAGTGATTTGGGGCTGATATGGTGGCCGAGCGAGGGATAGATAGAGGGAGTGCAGAGCGAAGAGAGGGAGAAGCAGTCAGGACAGGTCAGAGGGTAGGCAGGAAGAAGAGAGTGCACAGCTAAATAAAGACAGATAAGATGAAGAGAGCAAGTGAAGGAGGGTGCAGACTCAAGAGCATATCATCTCTGCTAAAGAGGAAATAACTCTGAGGTAAGACATCTGAGAGCAGATGAAGCTTCGGAGAAGAAAAAGATAGTTGCACGGACAGATATGATTTTACAAAGAAAAGGCTTGAGAGGTTGTCAACTTTGGATGACAAAGGATGTTCCTGTGCAGAGAGGCTTTTTTATGGTAAATACAGATCTCATTTTAATTTCTGCACTGATATTCTCTATAGCCTATATGTGGCATTGCGTTATGATGAACATCATTGCGAGCTTTTGAAACTGTGTGGACTTTCAGTGTGGATTAGTTCCTTGATCTTTCATTAACTCTGAATTTCCTCTTGCTGCTTTTCACTCTTATTTAATAACTGTGATTCAAGTTTCAGCTTTATTTCACTGCATATTTGAGTTTTTACCACCCTGGATTTCCTCACTGACCTTTTCTTTTAATCCTTATCCAAATTACTGTAACTTCTGTACTGTAACTTATGTAGCTAATGTTTGACTTCATCGTATGTTAGTTACTATGCCTCTATTCCTCTGTCTGACGGTCCATCTCTGTCTCTCCCAATCCTTGTACCAGTGTCTGATTTACAGATGACGCTGGACGGGGTTTGGGGGGGGCCGAGGGAGGACAAATGCTCCCCAACTTCCCTGTCATCCGTACCAACATTAGTATACTACCAGGCATCAGATAACTCTCTTTTCTGAATGGCTCATAAATGTGTTTTTTTCCCCTGAAAATAAACCCTGTTTGGTAAAATACACACCTGAGTGATTTCGTTTTTCAGTTGTTTCATGTAATTTCATTTCAAAATTTTCACTTATTTTGATTTTGCATTTGTTTTTCTTTATCATAAAGTAGAAATTTGTTTTTAACACCACCATGCAAGACAGATGTGCAGGTAAATAAACATTCAAATGACAAAGTAACATCAAAACTTAAAGGGATTAATTGTTCCCACAAAAATAAAAATGTTGCCATCTTATACTCACCCAGGTTGTTTCAAACCTATATGAGTTTCTTTCTTCGGTTTGAACACGAAAGAGGATATTTTATTAGTCTATAGATAACAGTAGCCGTTAACTTTTATAGGCCTATTTTTTCCCGACCGTCAACTGTTTGATTACCAACATTCGTTAAATATCTTATTTCGTGTTTAACCATAGAGAGTACAACAGAAGAAAGAACTCATACAAGACAAGGAACTTTGAGGGTGAGAAAGCGATAAACATTTTCATTTTTGTGTGAATTAAAGAGTAAAATAACTTGTCGTGTTTATGGTATATAGCCATCATTTGGGTCACATAATGTATCTTTAATAAACTAAAAAGTTCATTAATATACCAATTGAGCATACGATACTGGAAGATTAAACCTTCTCCAATGGAAAAAATTCACCCGTCCCATTTGACTCGTCCAGTGACATGCGCAGTGCGCACTGCGCACCACGTAAGACGGTCATTCCGCAGGTCTTGTTGACGCGGTAGTGAAACCGGTAAGCTGAAACTTGGTTTCGACAGTGGAGTGGTATCTAAAACATCGATATGATTATGAATCACCCTCAGACCTGATTTGATTCAGTTTGAGGTCTGGCCTACCTCTGAACTCTCCAATAACATCAGTCTCAACAACCAGGTCACAACTGACTCCTCGTCTGAAGTTTAGCACAGTTCGCTGCTGAGTCGCGCGTTAATGTTTCTGTGTTTTTTTTTTGTTGTTTGTTTTTGTTTTTAGTATCCGCGTTATAATATTGACCTTGTCAGTGCGTTGTGTTGCTTTCTGTGTTCACGCGTCTTGACTCGGCTGATTTGGACATCGAGGTGGTGACATATTTGCCAGGTATGAATGAACTACTAAAGTTACTTGTGAGCTTGAACTTTTGTACAGGTAGCCTACTTTCTGGTGATGCTTTCATCAAAGACTGACCGATGTCCTCTTTCAACTGTGACTATGTACTCGAATTCAGTTTTTTGGGATGATCACGAAGTAGCCTTATCACGAAATCTCGAATCTGTTGTGGCAGAATGAACGTAAAGAAGCTTAAAATTCAGCTTTCCCTTGGTTTCAAAGACTACGCTTAAGTTTGTCCCGGACTAAAACTTTTTGAGACGTCTTTACTAAAAGCAACTTGCACTGACTTAAAATATGTCAGTGCCATTTTTTGGTCTCAAGATGCACACACCAGTAATAAGGTTACCTTCATACATGCTACCTAAATCCCCCAATTTAACTACTTCCTGGCTTAATCTAAACCATGTCTGTGAAACCAGGCCTTATCTCTTAGCTAATTTTAATCAAAATATATTTAGGTTGAATTAACTTGATATTTTCCCAATTACACAATGATGTTTTTGTACGAACACACACACACACACACACACAGATCTAACCCATGGGTTGGTTGGCAGTAGCATAGTAAAGTTACTCACAGACATACTAGACAACTACAAAGTTACAGATCGGGTTAGTACTAAGTTGCAGATTTTGGGGCTTAAGATATCTGACATGGTTACTAACAGGATTTTATCGTTAGGATGTTACTGTAATATGGCCCTGGTGTGTGACTGGTAACATAAGGGTTGCAGCCCTACATGTGCTGTGTTGTAAAAACTAAAGCAGGCAGCCACAGTCACCCTATGATAATGATAAACCTTCAAATGTTTCAACTTTTGTGTTTGAGAAAGGCAAGCATAGAATAAAAATACATAGATTTTTTTAGGTTCATCACTTACTAGCATTTATGGAAACGTGCTTCATTTTTTCATAAATTCATCAAATACAATTCAAGCCAAGAATGTCATCAATCAGCTTTTGCAATGCAGAAAATTCCTCCTTTTAATTGGATTGTGAATGCAAGTAGTAAACATGCCACAATAGCAGAAGCTGGGTGAGGGTGTTTTCTCGCTTCTGCTGTGAAATCCACACTTGCAATTAGTTGGAAGCTGCTTAGAATTGATTTGTTATTGGGTAAGTGTGAACTATCTGGCCTTAGATCACATCTGAGCTGCATAGTTATGGGAATATCTAAATGCAGTAAAAAAAATCATAATTATTTTAAACACAAAGTCCAAATTAGCATAGTAGTTTTATATATTAGTTAGTTATAGTGTCATAAAAATGAACAGGGTCTAGGCTCATACAAGTGGGATGAGAAGAGGAAGATGAACCAAAACATGTAAATATGTCAAGTGTTTTGAGTTGTAAAACTGCCCTGGCCTGCATAAGAAATAACAATAACATTATACCTCCAGTAAAATTTTACCTGATTAATTTACCAGTGTAATTAAGGTCTGATGAGTCGTAATTAAAAACCTGTAAAGTAGGTTTTAATGAAATGAACTTAGGGAATGTGAGACATTATAGGAATAAAAATATGCTTTAGGCTACACAAACAGTTTTTTGATTTTAGGCTTTCATGCCAAATAATAGCCTAATATTATTTTTATTTTCCCTATTTTTTTGTTCACTTGAACTCTAATATATTATATAATGGTATTTTATATGTAATATATGTCATAAAAGAAACCATGGGGCAAGTTAAGTCCAGTTATCAGGCATCATAGCGGTCACATCGGTCTGTAACATGCATCACATTTATTATGCGGCCAAAAAAGTTGTTATATCTGATCTTCAATTCATTGATCATTTCAAGTTACTTGAATGCTTTTACAATCAAAATGCTACAGGTTCATGCTGGTATTATTGAAAATCCTACTTGGTGGGCAGTGCACTATATTAGCCTATACACACACAGTTAAAACTGTAAAATAATCCAAGTGTTCAATATTATTAGAAAATGAATGTATTTCTTTGTTTCTGTCAAAGTGCTGAGCTTGTCATCATGTTTGAGATGTTTGTGAAAGGCTATACATGACGTAGATAAAATGACTGAGGTAAACGGACTGGAACTTCCAGCTCTTACTTGTGTTTTTGTGTCTTTGTATATTATACTTTCATTTCCTTCCACTATTAATTAAGGTATTGTACTACTCCTCTTTAGATACAATTGATTATTGGTTGTATTTTAATGCACATTTTCTTCACTGAAGAGAAGACCAAACATACAAAGTGTACACTGACCTCCAATTAATCCTCCAATAATCGTTTAATTAGTCTCAATAGAGATTTGAGGCTCTGGATTAGTATAACTTGTGGAAATTTCATCAGCAGTTCATTGGAATTCTGCTGTGGTGGTTTGTATTGCGTAGTCTGAAACTGTTTTCATGTTTTAAAGAGTTTCTTGTTCCCTCTCTGTCTCAGCGATGGCAGACGTGGTGGTTAGGCCTGCATCCCCTTCTCAGTCCATCTCTCTTCTGGAGATTAAAGCGGAGACGCGGATGGTGCTGAAGTCTTTCCTGCGTCACTCGCTCTCGATTGCTCCTGGTGAGAGGCCTGGAAGGATTGGAGGAGAATACAATGACCCAAACAAATTCAGGTGACACAAATAATTCAAACACATACACAATTAAACACTGTCATGATGTGAAGTAAAACAACTTCATGTCAGACTTTTGTAGACCAGCACTTCTGACTTCTGACTAGCACTTGAAAATTGTTTTAACAAAGTCCGCCTAGAATCATATAGGTTATCTATCTCTGTAACTTAAAAAAAGACTTGTGTTGTAAATTAAGGAAGATTTGCCGGAAATACTGTATGTTATAGTGTTAGTTATTTAATCAATCTAATCATTCTTTTCATCTGTTTTTCATTTGATTATTAAAAAAATAATAATCTTTTCTACTAACATAATTTATTCAGGGGTCCAGGGAAATGTTGATGTAATAGACATAAAAGAAAATGTTCTTTAATATTTTGGAAATGAAAAAATCTTTCTCTCGCTTCCTTTTCTTAGTGCCTATAAAAAAGATAAGATAAGGAAAGATGCGAATGGATGGGACTCTTTGGATGAGGAGATCAGTGCCGCAGAGGAGAAGAAACATGGAATAAAAAATTTCATAAAACGAAGATTGAGAGCCCGTTCATCCACAATCCGCCATTCTAGGAAAGTCAGTAGCGCTGACCCAACTCCAAACAACAGCCTGGAGAAGCAGACTCAGCTGGGCAAGTCCGACAAGCCGTCGGCGAGTAGAACACAAAGTTTACCCAGGAAAACAGAGGTTTATAAAAAAATTAAACATTACTTCTTTTTTGTCAAACAATATGTGTGCAATCTGCCCTGTTATTTAATGTTTCTTCAAAAAAAATCTACACTGCAAATCATTATAATAATCAAAAGCTTTACAATTTCAAAATAATTTCTGCTGTTTTCAGTATGGCAAAAATAGGCTCCTACTTTTTTCTCAACACTTCTGCTTGTGCTTGTGTTGGTAGTGTGTTACCTGTTAATATGGGCACCAAAATAAATGCTTTGCCTGTGCTTGCGGTGTGAAACAGGCAAACACGATTTATATCTGTATAGACTAAAAACTGCTCTTGTTTTATCTGGCCCATGGAGTGCAAAGCTAATTAAAAGCTTTTTTGGTTTCAGTTTTAAGAATTTCCTGATCCTTCAAGGAGCCAAAATGTACTTATTTTTAGTTTCTTCTTTCTTAACAATATGGGATTTCATATTTCTATTCAGAACTTGTAAATGAGATGATTTTCTTTTAGGAAGAGATAGTCTCTCCATCATCTGCGTCTGACGAGGAAGGTGACAGAAAATCAGGGAAGAAAAAGAAGAAAAAGCTTAAATTATCTGAGATTCTCAAAAAAGTGTCTTTTAAAAAAGAAGAGCCTCGTCCTCGGCGCCCGGCCACGCTATCTTTAAGAGATGCTTCAGATGTTCTACAACCTGAGGATTATCCTGCTTCACCATGTAAGTTTCAGACGTACAAGATATACAGCCTGTTTTATGGATATAGAAGTTGAGACACAGGAGGCACTGTCAGGAATGTGTTCTTGATTTGTTTTATGCCTATAAATACACTACATTTGGGCGGTTAGATTTATTTTTTTATTTTTTTAAATTTTGAAAGAAGCTTCTTATGCTCAACAAGACTGCATTTGTTTTTAAATAGTTAAAATGTAATATTGTGAAATGTCATTAGAATTGTTTTCCATTTTAATATAGACGAATCCGGCGAAACTACCGGAAGTAAGCGGGGCGCCATTACTGAGCTGTTGCTGGGTAGCGTTGCGCCATTGCCTCCTATTGTTTTAGTTGCAACTTGCGTCCACTGGAATAAACAGCCCGCGATTTACGACTGTCACTAACGTTACAACGTTATCCCTTGTATAATGTCGAGTGGGTAAACAGTTTCCGTTATAAATTGTTTCAATGGTGGCAGTAAAATTTCAATTTTGAAGAGAAAACACTGTGAATACCCCGGGTCGACTGCCCCTGTCTGGTGATTTCCTGGGCGAGTACAAGACGTGGACATTCGCGTATAATAACAATTATTTAATGACATAAGTAAAAAAAATATAATAAATATGTGATATAGTAATCAGCAAAATCTCCTCTCTTGCTATTTTTTCTATTAAATTAACATGCTATGGTCATTAAATGGCTTTCCTGAGCTAAATGTAACGTTATGTGACATAATTGTTCTCCCGCTGTTATATTGACCTCTTTCCATGGTTTAAAAACACTAATTGGTCGATATTATGTATACTTTCTAGCTGTAACGTTACCTTACCCTTGCCTGTTGCAATGTGAAAATGAGATAAATAATGGACACAAATGAAAAACATGAATTTGTTTATTTGATTTCATTCATTTATTTATTTATTGTTGCCAAATGGACAGATCTTTTTATAGTTTCCTCGTTAGCAAACGTTAGCCTAGCTAGCTTGCCAAGCTATTTTCATAAATAACGTTAATCTGTAAGATCGTTTGTACCTTCATCTGTGACTGGAGGCCACTGCAGTCACAGATCAAACCAACAAGTCATTCTGCCTGGCTGTAGCTGTCATCGAGGGTGAGTTCGCGTTATCACCGAGGTTTGTTTACATAGCGGTGCATATGTCTATATGCCTGTGTAACAGCTCAGTAATGGCGTCGCCACAAGATGGCAGCCTACACAGAACGCTCGTCGGATTCGTCTATATCTTAAAGGTGCTCTAAGCGATGTCGGGTGACGTCACTTCTTGTTGACGTTCGAAGTATTGTCAAACAAAACGGAGTCTAGCTAGACCTCATCCTGTCCCCTCTCCTGTAGTTTTACTGATACTTCATTCAAGTTGTAATGGCCAAGTTAGATAAATGCTTTCATATAATGTAGAAAAAGAGTAACATTACCAGAAAAACACAATAAAACGTTTTGCCACCCGATGTTGTAACTTTAGCGCCCATAAGGACGCAATAATAGCAAAAAAATGTTAGCTTTGCATTTCCCAGTGAGCGTAAACTAACATTATCTGAATGTCGGATTGGAAGCCCTTCTGCCGCAGGAGATCTCGCCACTTTTAAAAGGCTTTTCTAATGTAAATTCGGGACTTCGCGCATCCCTTATCCTTTTCCCTCTTCTTTGCATTTTTGCAATCTGTTCATCGGAACTTCGTCTCGTTGTTCGTGTGTCGGCCATATCAAACTTAAAGAGTTATAATTCTAACTTCCCTCTTCATGCTTCTCTCTCCTCTCCTCCACACCCCCTTCATGTGTATACGCACAGCACTAACCACCCAAATCATTCTAGTTGGTTATTGGCTGGATCACTGTTTGTTTTGTTTCGTGGAGCGGGTTGGGCAGTTTGTTTTTGTTGCCGTTGGTGGAGCCTGGACTGTCTACAGAGACCGTGTTTTTTTTTTTTTTTTACAGTGTGTTCAGGGGACAGCCAGCTAGCAGATAGTGAGGAGATGTTTGCTCTGTGTCAAAAAATGGTTTGGCCTAAAAAATGCGTGACATCGCTTAGAGCCCCTTTAAAATGTAATTTATTTCTGTGATGCAAAGCTGAATTTTCACCATTATTACTCTAGTCTTCAGCGTCTCATGATCTTTCAGAAATCACACATCATTCAGAAATCATCCTCATCATCACTTTACTATCACTTTTGATCAATTTAAATGCATTCTTGCTGAATAAAATTATTAATTTCGTACTGACACCAAACTTTAGTACGATATGAACTCTGCTCATGATATTATGTAATTTTTTTTTTCCTCAGCCCGTCCTCCTGAGTTTTATGATGATGTGGCAGAAACTTTGGACAGAATTGCACAGAAACACAGTGTAAAAAAGAAATCCCCTGTTAAACCTGAGCCAAGTCCACCCAAAGGTACATATAAAAGCATAAACTGATGCAAAACTTGTTTATGACCTGATGAATTTAATATGTGTGAAGTACATTTTCAGTGGAATATCAAAGCAAGAGCAGACCAGTAATGTTACGTCACATCTTGCTGTTTGATTTAGTTATGGAAAGGGATGTGATTTAACAATACAGTGCTTGAACAATAGCTTATTGTTATAGTGGACTGATGGTCTGGCTGAGGTCTTTTCACTTGTTTTTGTTTGGAGATTAGGTTACACTTCTTCTTTTTGTTTGCAGTAAATGACAAAGAAGCTGTGGTTCAGCAGCTAGTTCAGATATTGACTTCAGAGGGGGATACCATTAACAGCAAGGTATATTCCCTGATCTGAGTTCACCTTTCTTTCTAATCATTTTTATATCTCTCTAGGATATAGAGTAAACTTTGCTCTTAAAGCAGCTCTTGGTTCTTTATCGTAAAGTTTTAATTGAAGTCATAAATTTTGAGTTTTTGACTATTTATAGTCATATTTTGAGTTGCTGCCTTGTTTATCATTGTTAATTGTGGTTTAATGTTGTAGATAAACACCAACCCCTTCCTGCGGTCCACCCTCTCCCGCATCTCCTACGCTTCTTTTGCCAAACTCCTTGACACGTACGCCGGTCAGAGTGAAGAACCTCCTGTTCCCGCACCGGTCAGCCCTACGCTGCGGCGTCTCGCCATCACCATGGACGTGTCTCGTCGAGTCGTCACAGCTACTGGTGTTCAGCGTCTCACAGGCTATGCTGAACGCTACATGGAAAGCTTTGCACCATGGGTGAGGAGCCACGGAGGATGGGTGAGCAGTTTTTGCTATCTAACTTTTCCTCAGTCTCTCTTTGGGATGTTCATCTGCTTTTTTCTTCCAGAAGGGGGCACAATTGTGTCAAGTAATCCTCTCTTTTTGTGTCTTCTTCCACAGGATAAAATTGCATATTTGGATGAGGTCCTGGAGTGTGATTGACCTCAGACCTTTTCATAATGAACTCATGAAAGTTCTCAAATCATGTAGCATGACCTCTGTGAGGCAAAGAAGAAGACTGGGGAATTGACACTACTTGATTAGAAATTTTCTCTGCTGATGTATTTATTATTCTTTTGTATTTTGGATGTTTTTTATGTGACATTTTATACTAAAATACATGATGTCAATCTTCTTCTGTTGTACTGCATTCTTTTTTATTTGTAATGACTTTAACCGACGATAATATAGTACAGACCATTGGTTTAGTATAACAAATCATCAACTCTTAAACATTTAATTTCCATTTATAGGAAATTTACATTAATTGCATGTTCATCGCAAGCAGTTATAACGGTATTTAACAAAGAGTGCAATAATTCTAGGATTTACATTTTTCACCTACTGTATACCTTTACTTTATATTCATTTAATCTTATTTTTCTAAGTACAATTGAATTATTTAGCCTTTTATCTGGTAAATTAATTTATTTGAGATTCGTCTGAGCTGTACTATAAGTGCAGTACTATAATCTATGTGCACATGCATATCACGTCGAGTATCTCTAATAGGCAAATCTGTTTAAACATTCATTACATATTCAGAATAGAGCGAAGGATGGGTCAGTCCATGTATTTTTCTGCTCGTAGGATTTGGCAGTACATCAGCATGGAGAACACCAAAGCAAGAATCTGGAGGGAGAAAAATGCGGTCGCATTATACCAGTGCTTAAATTCATATATTAATCAAATTATACCAGATACACAAGTTTAAAAGTACCTGAACAATTCCAATACAAACTCCAAACCCAAGCACCGAGGTGATGTTAGCCAGCAGCCAGTCCTTAGCCTTCTCATAACACGGCTAAAACACATTCAAAAAACAGTTTTATAAACTGGTCATCATCCCAAAGTAAGCCGTGACCGTAATCAGGGTCTCGGTTTGATTTGAGATAATGACTGGCTGGAACTACATCTTTTTTAATACATAGTTACCAAATACATAAACAAACGGACATGAAATTGTAATTGTACTCCATACCATTCAGATGTTTGGGGTTAGTAACTTCTTTCACTCTTGGTTTCACAGACAAGGCAGTCTCAGACTAAAATGCATGTTTGAGCTGCTTTAACTGAAAGCAACTTGCTCTAATATATCTTAAAATATGTCAGTGCCGTTGTTTTGTCTCAAGATTCAAACCAGTAATGGGTTATATATAATAAGTTATTATTATATATAATAAGTTATTAAAGTCACTTAAAGGCCCTAATTGAACTAAGACCTAATCCTGGCTTAATCTAAGACCTGTCTGTGAAACCGGGCCTTTATGATTTGGAAAGACAGTCTTATGCTCACCAAGTCTGCAATTATCGGATCATAAATACAGTAAAAGCAAAAATTTCTATTATTTTTCAAATTTTAAATATATTTGTAAGAAATTTGAGAAAACTAAAAATTGTTTACTGTAATATGTCATTAATAGCATTATACGACTTAAAATATGATCATTTTGAAGATATTTTGTTTGTAACTGTAAATTGTAAGTTCTGATTACAATTTAAAATAAAATTAAAAAATAGTGATTTTTTTTAAAGTGTACATTTTACGATGTAATTTATTCCTGTGATGACAAAGCTGAATTTTCAGCATCATTACCCCAGTCTTCAGTGTCAAATGATCCTTCAGAAATAATAACCATAATATGCTGATTTCTTACAAAAATGCATCGTTTCGCTTCAGATGGCCTTTATTATCCCCCTGGAGCCGTGGTTTGGATTACTTTTATTATTTATGGATGCGCTTTTTTGGGCTTCAAAATCTCCGGTGCTACTCACTCCCATTATACAGCTTTGAAGAGCCAGAATATTTTTAATAGCCTATAATTTTGAATGTGTTTGGCTGAAATAAGAAAGTCATATTATGCAACATCTAGGATGGCTTGAGGGTGAGTAAATTATGGGATCATTTTAATTTTTTGGATGAACTAACACCTTAACATATCAGATGTATGTAGGGTTTGTGCCAGATTTCATTTTATAATACGCTTATGGTTGCAATTATCAACCGCTGGCAGGATTGAGGGACGTGTGGTACTGACTCCATGACCCCAGAAATGTTCTGACCTCTTCCCAATGATGGCATTCTACAGATTTATTCCTGCAGCAAGAGAGAGGAACTTCGCCTTCTGATGTTTTATTGTGCCAGTCGGTGTGGTTGCTCACGCCACAGCACTTGAACTGAAAGAGACAGAATCCATGATATACATTGAAAAATCTTAGTCTTCATATTTGTGACCGTTATAAACCCAACTCACAATCGTCTGCATGTTGTTCCAGGAATTTTTCAGCCCTTCATTTCTTTCATAGTCATTAATTCCTTCTCTTAGGTCATCCTTAGCCTTTTTGTCCAACTAAATGGATGAAAACCGAGACAAGCGGATAAACAGGAAGTAGAAGGCAAAGTGTTTTCCTGAAAGGAAAGGCTGAAATATTTGCAAGGCTCAGACGTTAGTCTCTTACCTCTTCATGATACACACTCAAAACCAAAATCAGTGCCATTTCTGTCAGGACTAGAAACAAGAGGATCACAAAAAACTGAAAGAACAAGAAAAAGCTATTAGAGTAGCCTACATGAATGACAACAATATTCCCATAGGGATAAAACTCACCAATTAAATATTTGTATTAACGCATTTACTTCTCGTAGGCAACAGTGATATGCCTTCCTCTGCTTCTCAGATATTTAACCTGAAAAGTATCATTCTGGTCTCAAATTTGCCAAAATCAATCAAATTCTTAGATTTCAATATGAACTAAAATATTTCTCATCAAATACAAGTCCAAATTATTTGAACTATACTGCTATAGACACATTTTTTTTTACCTATAAGGAGAAATATTAGAGAGGATGATACTTGAACTTATTTTTTTTACAGGAAATTAAAATAATTTAATTATGTACATTATTAAATTAATATACTGTCGTTCAAACATTTTAATTTTAAATGTTCTGGAATAAATTATCTTTTATACTGGCATGGAAAAATGACGTCATGCTTACCAAGGACATACAGCAGAAACTATTAAAATATTATTACATTTTAAATAACTGTTTTCTATTTTAAAATGTATTTTAGAGCTAGAGTGGGCAAAAATATATATGAAGAGTTCAGATGCAAAAGCCTCTAAGTGCCATTTGAAATTTTCTTCTAAAATGGTCATTTTTATCAAGCTTATATATTCAAGTTCAGTAATTTCACTTAAATGACAATTAATAGGTAATCCTCATTGCAATTTAAGTGAAATTACTGAACTTAAATATACAAGCTTGACAAAAATGATCATCCTAGAAGAAAATTTCAAATGGCACTTAGAGGCTTTTGTATCTGAACTCTTCATATATAAACACATTTTGTTGGTTGAAAAACTCTTCACATCCTGAGAGCAATCAATAACATCTGGTCGAAATATTTAAACGATGGAAATGCTAAATTTTCAGCAGCTATTATTCCAGTCTTCAGCATCAGATGAGGACAGTTTCCGCACTTGTTTTACAGATGTCAGTAAGGATCCAGGTACCTTACCGTCATTAATAGACACTTCTGCTCTTTTAGAGCACCAAGGCATCCGAGAAATCCTGTCACCATGGTGACGCCCCCAGCAACAAGCAGCAGGTTGGCCGCGGAAAGTGAAGGGAAGGACAGCGGTAGAGATGAAAACTCAGACTGTGTGAAGGTGAGCCACACCCCGACACCAAATAAACCACATCCTCCCAACTGCACAAACAAGCAGGTAAAGAAAAATAACTTTGCATCAGTTTAAGGTAGGTCATAGGAACAAGTGTAGGCCTGCATGGCCTATAAACACAATAGGCTAGTATTGAACATATTCTTAAATATTTTGTGAATATTTATTGAACAAATGGAATACACTTCTCGTATCACCACTCAAACGTTAAAAAAAAGCCTATAGTGTATGTTTCAATGTTCTGTACAATCATTAAAGAAGAACAATACACATATTCCACATATTTTTACAGTGTATACTCCAGCCTTCAGTTTTATGATTGACTGAGCAGCGTTCCATGACTGTTTTTCTGTTACAACGTTACAAACAAAAGTGACATCATTCACTCAATTCGCTGAGTGAATGATTCAAAGATTCGATCCACAACATTCACAGGAACGCCACTACTGGGACACGTAACAGTTGTTTCTGATAAGTTGGTGAATATGGTGATGTTAACTGAAAATAGATCCTCTATTTTCCAAACTGATAATCTGCAGAACCCTAAAACAGAACTAACCCAAAAGATGAGGTTGAAGATAAACATGAGGTACTTCACACAGCAGAGGCAACCTCGTGACGCAGACATTCTGCATGAAAGAAAGAAAGACAGGAATAGAATCACAAAATGATGATATATATATATTGTGTGTGCTTTTAACGTGTGCAAACTTTCACACTCTCCTAAACATATCATGGAGAGGAAGTGCTGTTTCCAGGCAGGAAGAAACCACCCTTGTGTTACTGCTGATAGCATTAACTAGAAAAAGCCATTATGTTCCATGACTAAAACATACCTACTCATGTAGGGCCTTTCTTATACTTTAATCTCAAAGAATATTGTGGACTTATATGTGCGCCTCATGTTCCATGAGCAAAAATCAACATTGTCATGTTGGTGGTAATTTTGCTCTTTCTGTTCCACAGAATGTGCTCTACATGTGACCACAGAGCATATTACGGGACAAAATGTAAACATATAAGCCCCCTCAAAGTCAGGCAGCACATGGATTTATGATCTTATTTCAGTGGTATGTCAGTAATGGTTCTGGAAATTGGCACCATATGTATGCTGGAATTAAAGAATTCTTTAAATATGAGATCATATGAAACTATAAATGCTGAGAAAAGTGTGCTTGAAGTGTACCTCCACTTTTTTCTTTTTATATACAACTCTTTTTTTAATCAATTCTGCCAGTCCATAAAATATTTTTTTTTCTTTTTTGACATAAATGGAAAACACAAATTTTCATCTATCTTGTCAGTCTATCTCAGTAAATCAAGGTTTGCTCAAAATCACTGTCAACAACATTGTTTTCTCTATCTGCTTCAGTGGATTGTAAACAGTACCCAGATCTATATATTTAATATTCCAAAATTTACATTAAACATAAACCCAATATAGTAGCT